AGAGCAGATTACGAATGAATCCAGGCGACATATCTTGACATTCCAGTGGACAGCCAATTTGCCGGCTGCTGAGACAGGGACAGTCGTCCTCCATAATTATCAATGACTTCCATGATTTTGTTATGTCTGTGCGGACAATAGTTCAGAGTGGAGTGGCGAGGATGCTATCATAAGTGCTACATCAACTAATTACCACGGTGACGGCCCAACCTGCCTCTGCTCCAGGGAACGTGATTCAGTGATGTATTGGGAAGTCTTGAATCATCGTTTAGTGGGTATTACTTACGGATATGTCTAATGGGATCTTGTAATGAATGATATCATGAATCTGAGTTAATGCCTGAATCAGGGTTAAATCCTGATTGTGAATCAGCACCTGTCACAGTGTTAGTCATATGATTTGGTCCATCATAGGTTCAGCAGGCCTAGTGAAAGAAAAAAAATTAATACAAATAGTTATAAAGGTCAGAGTGCTCTACACTTATGAATTTCTGTTTTACTCACTCACCCACACACTCACACACACACTCACTTACTCACCCACCCACATGCCACTCACTCACTCACACACTCACACATGCACTCACTTTCTCACTCACCCACTCACTTACTCACTTACTCTCTCACACACTCACTCACTCTAGTTGTGTATGCACAAATCTGTCAGTTTTCATTATGATGACATGGAGAACCTCGTAACAAGCCATTAATCTTTTTTGACACCTTCCAAGTATATATCAGGCTTACCTGACAACTACTCCTCATACCCTGCTTGATGAAGATGAAGTGTAGACGGGTAGAAAAAAGTTGCAATTCTTATTGATGTTTCAATATTAAATAAGGGCTGAACAATTTTATCTTGTTGCATACAGGTGTAATTCTTGTGTTTGTTTTCATTCTGGTTGTACATCATTCTGACAGGATCACATGTACACAGGTTGGCTGACTGCCAACGTCATATGGCGTTACTGTAGTTACCTCCACATGTGTATCATTATGGAAATCATCATAATAATCATCATCATCACCCTCGTCATTATCACCTTCATGACCAGGGATAACTCTAGTGGACATTGACAGGCAGTAACACAGAGACACGGCTTACTGTCAGGCCAAACACAATGGCAACTCTCAACAGTGGTGGGCTTTTGGAAAACATCATGGCCATTTACCAAAATCTGATGGGACACTTACACGTTTTCTCTTGAAATGGACCAGGATATAAAAGCCATTTTTGAATTGATGATATTGATGGCCACCCAACCTAGATCCAGGTGTATCTACCTGTGTAGTTGTTCCCCATCGACCCTGATCCACCTGGCAGTGTCCACCTTGATGTCAGCTGTGCCACATAGACAGCAGGATGGAAACACATGTGGGCCTCCATCTCACTCACTGACCAGACGTCCATCTACGTAACAAACTGAGAAACTGTTGAGTGAGTGAGTAAATATCACATCATTGTTTCACTTATATACCATGTCATCTAGGTGTGAGAAGGAAGCGGTGCAGGTCTTCATGATAACAATGGTGATGGTGCTCACTTTAGTCTCAACTGAGCCAAGGTTTGCAATGCTAAAAAATGTGGCAGTCAGATTAGCCATGATGATAAATGCATTAAGGGGGCAATACCTGTTCTACCACACTGTCAAGGGGACATAACAGTAGCCATCAGTGCAGGAAGCAGGTAGAGATTCTTCTGGTTCAGACAGTAGCCATCAGAGCAAGAAGCATTTACAGACTCTACTGGTACGGACAGTAGCCATCAGTGCAAGAAGCAGGTAGAAACTCTACTGGTACAGACAGTAGCCATCAGTGCAAGAAGTAGGTAGAAACTCTACTGGTACAGACAGTTGCCATCAGTGCAAGAAGCAGGTAGAAACTCTACTAGTACAGACAGTTGCCATCAGTGCAAGAAGCAGGTAGAAACTCTACTGGTACAGACAGTTGCCATCAGTGCAAGAAGCAGGTAGAAACTCTACTGGTACAGACAGTAGCCATCAGTGCAAGAAGCAGGTAGAAACTCTACTGGTACAGACAGTAGCCATCAGTGCAGTGCAAGAAGTAGGTAGAAACTCTACTGGTACAGACAGTAACCATCAGTGCAAGAAGCAGGTAGAAACTCTACTGGTACAGACAGTAGCCATCAGTGCAAGAAGCGCAGGTAGAAACTCTACTGGTACAGACAGTTGCCATCAGTGCAAGAAGCAGGTAGAAACTCTACTGGTACAGACAGTTGCCATCAGTGCAAGAAGCAGGTAGAAACTCTACTGGTACAGACAGTAGCCATCAGTGCAAGAAGCAGGTAGAAACTCTACTGGTACAGACAGTAGCCATCAGTGCAAGAAGCAGGTAGAACCTTTACCATCAGTAGCCATCAGTGCAAGAAGTAGGTAGAAACTCTACTGGTACAGACAGTAGCCATCAGTGCAAGAAGCCGGTAGAAACTCTACTGGTACAGACAGTAACCATCAGTGCAAGAAGCAGGTAGAAACTCTACTGGTACAGACAGTAGCCATCAGTGCAAGAAGCCGGTAGAGACTGTGCTGACAGTAGCCATCAGACAGAAGCAGGTAGTAGCCATCAGTGCAAGAAGCAGGTAGAGACTGTACTGGTACAGACAGGTAGCCATCAGTGCAAGAAGCAGGTAGAAACTGCTGGTACTGGTACAGACAGTAGCCATCAGTGCAAGAAGCAGGTAGAAACTCTACTGGTACAGACAGTAGCCATCAGTGCAAGAAGCAGGTAGAAACTCTACTGGTACAGACAGTAACCATCAGTGCAAGAAGCAGGGTAGAAACTCTGGTGGTACAGACAGTACTGGTACAGACAGTAGCATCAGTGCAAGAAGCAGGTAGAAACTCTACTGGTACAGACAGTTGCCATCAGTGCAAGAAGTAGGTAGAAACTCTACTGGTACAGACAGTAGCCATCAGTGCAAGAAGCAGGTAGAAACTCTACTGGTACAGACAGTAGCCATCAGTGCAAGAAGCAGGTAGAAACTCTACTGGTACAGACAGTAGCCATCAGTGCAAGAAGCAGGTAGAAACTCTACTGGTACAGACAGTAGCCATCAGTGCAAGAAGCAGGTAGAAACTCTACTGGTAGAGAAGTAGCCACTGGCACAGACAGTACTGGTACAGACAGTAGCCATCAGTGCAAGAAGCAGGTAGAGACTGTACTGGTACAGACAGTAGCCATCAGTGCAAGAAGCGGGTAGAAACTGTACTGGTACAGACACAGTAGCCATCAGTGCAAGAAGCAGGTAGAAACTCACTCAGACAGTAGCCATCAGTGCAAGCAGGTAGAAACTCTACTGGTACAGACAGTAGCCATCAGTGCAAGAAGCAGGTAGAAGAAGAAGGTAGAAACTCTACTGGTACAGACAGACAGTAGCCATCAGTGCAAGAAGCAGGTAGAAACTCACTGGTACAGACAGTAGCCATCAGTGCAAGAAGCAGGTAGAAACTCTACTGGTACAGACAGTAGCCATCAGTGCAAGAAGCAGGTAGAAACTGTACTGGTACAGACAGTAGCCATCAGTGCAAGAAGCAGGTAGAAACTCTACTGGTACAGACAGTAGCCATCAGTGCAAGAAGCAGGTAGAAACTCTACTGGTACAGACAGTAACCATCAGTGCAAGAAGCAGGTAGAAACTCTACTGGTACAGACAGTTGCCATCAGTGCAAGAAGCAGGTAGATACTGTACTGGTACAGACAGTAGCCATCAGTGCAAGAAGCAGGTAGATACTGTACTGGTACAGACAGTAGCCATCAGTGCAAGAAGCAGGTAGATACTGTACTGGTACAGACAGTAGCCATCAGTGCAAGAAGCAGGTAGAAACTCTACTGGTACAGACAGTAGCCATCAGTGCAAGAAGCAGGTAGATACTGTACTGGTACAGACAGTAGCCATCAGTGCAAGAAGCAGGTAGATACTGTACTGGTACAGACAGTTGCCATCAGTGCAAGAAGCAGGTAGATACTGTACTGGTACAGACAGTAGCCATCAGTGCAAGAAGCAGGTAGATACTGTACTGGTACAGACAGTAGCCATCAGTGCAAGAAGCAGGTAAAAACTCTACTGGTACAGACAGTAGCCATCAGTGCAAGAAGCAGGTAGATACTGTACTGGTACAGACAGTAGCCATCAGTGCAAGAAGCAGGTAGAGACTGTGCTGGTACAGACAGTAGCCATCAGTGCAAGAAGCAGGTAGAGACTGTACTGGTACAGACAGTAGCCATCAGTGCAAGAAGCAGGTAGAAGCTCTACTGGTACAGACAGTAGCCATCAGTGCAAGAAGCCGGTAGAGACTGTGCTAGTACAGACAGTAGCCATCAGTGCAAGAAGCAGGTAGAGACTGTGCTCGAAATGACACAGTGTTGTCACAACCAGTGATGCACATCAGTGAATGAGGGCGGGTTTGTAGAAACATACCGTGTGGCTTCCTAAATACACCTAGATACTGTTGAGGCTGTGGCTGGAATGTTTAGAATATATAACATATGTGACATAATCATACATATATTGTAGCAGATTGACTGCATTCAAGTCTTGCATTATTGTGGGTTAAAGTATTTGCCTGTTCAAATTGTTTTGAATTTCTTGGATCTGAAATTTACATTTCAATGGCAGTAGTGAGATGATTTGATTTTTTTTTTAGCCAGAAATAACACACATCAGTTCTCTAAAAAGTGAAATATACAACTTCATAAAAACATGCTTAAAAATATCACCTTATCGTATATGTGAAAAACATCACCTATAGCTTGTGTTTCTAACTCTAGGGTGAAACACATACATAGCAACCAAAGTTATATTCACCAATCAATACACTTGTAATTGTCAGTTGATAAATGTTATAATGCACAGCCTTATAATGAGGGAGGTAGGGAGAGGGAGACAGACACCCTACTCTCAACAGTGCCCACTACTCTTGACTCCTGTAGGGAGCTGGGACTTTACTCAATGAATTTATCAGCAGTAGCATGTTCCACTCTATCGACAGAGTGTGAGTAGCTCCGCTAGCATTAAAGGTACCCTGAGGAAGAGAGAGGTGCTGCTGTACATGGCCTTCTGTTTGCTTGGATTACGATCAGACGAGATTGATTAGGAATTTTAGCATTAACACCAGTTGTGTTTAAGGACGGACTTTTACCTCACCTCATCTCATCACAGGTAGGGAAAGTATCACTTGATTGTGACTTTTCTTTTTCTGTTTTCATGAACAGGTGCAACTTTCTTCAAGGTTTTTGTTTTCGTTTGTTTGTTGGCTTGTGAACGTGTTTATGTGATGGAGCTGCGATTTAGACAAGGATGTGTTTTGTTTGTGAGTCTAGATGTATTGGGTTGATGTTGGCGATGTAGATTAAATAATATGTATTTGTGTTGTAAGCAGACGGGTAACTGGTGAACAAATACGTCTGCTCCAGAGGAAGCAGGTCCTACCTGACAGTGCTGACATCATGCTGCTGAGTGACAGACGGATGTAATGTGTCACATCGCGATATTTCTCTCATGACAAACATATTGGACAACAGTGTTGTGGACATATATATTCAGTTTTCCCTTTTATAAGTTTTAAGTAACACAATTTATTCAGGAAAGTCAAGTTTAGGGAGAGCTATATTATGATGATCAAGTCTTGACATCACGGCATGGGTAGAAGTGTTGAGTCAAATATTTATACAAATAACTGTAAAATATTAAACATACTGAGATACCTTATCAACAACAAGTGAATGTATTAACATCTTGACTTACAGGGATAGTTTTGAACCTAATGTTCATGCTTTAAGGAAGCATCACAGAAATATTTTGGAAAGGGAAATTTCACTGAAATTCTAAATATATTTGATGCTAAAAACGTTTTATGCAAGATATCTGTTTGAAAGCTAAATTTGTTTGCTAAAAACACAATGCCTGGAATTAAATCGATTGATCACATACAACTTGAAAACATACTTTAATCTGCACACCATTATCTAAGATTTCCTTTATCATGATCCGTGTCTAAGGTGGTTGATAATGTGTTATGGTATTACACTTCTCATTTACTGATAACGACAATTACGTGAAATTTATCACTCTGTGACATTCCAAGGTCTGATACTAAAACCACGTACTTCATGAAGGAATATAGTTACAACATTCAAATTCTGTAAATAGATGAAGACCCATTCAGAGATGAATAAAGACCGTGGTATAGTAATGATATTTGACTTTCATCCTTGGTATTGTGTCTAATTCCTGATGTATTTGATAGAGAAGGAATTTAGCTCTCTTCAAACCCTATTCCCCCCACTGAAGTTGTGATAAGCTCCCTGTTAATCATCAGCTCCAGCTAAATACACCTACTGTGCTGTATGGCTAAATAATTTGTTGTCTCTTTTGCTAATATTGATGGCGTCTTATCACAGTGGAGTAGTGTGGAAAGTAGTTCTGAGACCCACAATTGTGACTTCATATTGGGGACATTAGTGACGTCTGCTTCGCCATTTGTTCACATCCTTCTGGGCCTCTTTGTTACTTGGTAATCTTTAATCTCATGCAGAAGAGAATTTGGACGCTCACTACATCTTCTCAATAAGAGTACAGTGTCTTTATAAAGATGACTTTAATTTTCTAATTCTCTCCTTGTCTCCCAAAGTTTATTTAACGATTCTCTCTTATCTTTGGTGATAATGTTTTCTGTTTACTCAGAAGAAAGCAATACAGTGTGTTAGCTGAGTGGTAATGTGTAGCCTGTCATGCCAGAGGGCTAGGTTTGATTCCCAAAGTGGGTCAATGTTGCAACTATGTCTACCATGACTTTGCTCAATTACTGGTATAAAACCATACTCACTCAATCAGAATAAACACTCAGTACCAGTGGTTGACAAATTCATTAGTGTCTGTAACTCATCTCTTCTCTCTTTCCTCTCACAGAGATTCATGTATTAAATGCTTCATGGAAGAGAGATTCAGGTTATCATTAGGCGGAGATGTTATTGCTCTCACAGAGAAAAGGGGTAAAGTTGATCCTTGCTTCATACAATATGAACTGAACTCTCCCCTCTGTGGTATATTCTGTATTCTATTGTTCCCAGAACCGAAAGGTTCAGTTCATGTTTAGGAGATGATATAATCTTCAGTATGTTGGAGGAGTTACTTGCATCCTTTCACCAGCGAAATAGGAAAGACTCATCACGAGGCTGTCCAGATTGTTGTGTGATTCCCATCTCTGTCCTGCCCTAAATTTTCATTTCAATGTGAAATAATACCAACTTTTCTTATCTCAGTTTTCCCCACTGCAGTGGATATTTATGCCCTAATGTGATAAAAAGAACTTCTTACCATTGAACTTTCATAGCAAGAACAGGTCTGCTTGGTGTCTCTTTATCTTCATTTATTGAGAATTTGTTTCCAAAACAACTCAGTCTAGCTAATTAATTAAGAAACCGTTACCAAATTATCTTCATTTTGAAAATTAAAAAAAAAAGTACTAGAACTTGTACTTTACTAAGAAAGTGTAATCCCAAATATTTCATGTTAAAAAAAAAAGAAAAGGTTCCCAATTAGTGGAAGACATGTTTTTTATCTATATATACTACCCATCGAAAGTTTAGACTCACTTAAAGAACTCACTATATGTTATAGTGGTTACATCGAAGATGAATTTCTTTACAACTTGGGGGAACCAACTGTAAACCTTATGTAGATGGGTTGCAAGAGGATCATACATCAAAGTGCTGAAAGGCATATGCAAATATCGTGCATGTGAACAGCTGCGTTTTGGTGTTGAGTTTTGTAAAGAATTCGCCAATTTTCACTGAGTTTTACCATTTATTGAACTCATGACAATAATCTGTTCAACGTTACGATTTTGTTTTACAATACATCAGTTCATTTGTAAACAGTACCTTTAAAATGTATGGAATATTTTACAAAATCTAGTTTAGAACAGTTGACTGAAGTAAGTGGCTACATTTACACTAGTGAGTCTAAACTTTTGATGGCTAGTATATTTTGATCATTTCTTTGCCAAACTGCCATCTACCCTTGAAGATCTGGGTTAGAATTGGTCTTCAATAACCCATGCTTGTTAGTTCTCAACTTACGGGATCGGGTGGTCAGACACATGTCATCATATCCCGCTTGCGTAGATCCATGCTCATGCTGTTGATCACTGGATTGTCTGGTCCAGACTCAATTCTTTACAGACAGACACCATTTAGCTGGAATATTGCTGAGTGTTGTGTTAAACAAGCAAACAAACCTGTGCTCTCTTGCTGAAAATGGAGGGCCTAAGAAGGAGATATATTTGCATAATCTCCAAGAGGAGAGAGGTTCACTTCGTCTCTAGGATGAATTCATCATTAGGAGGAGACATAGTTTTTAAGGTACAGAGTATTTATAAGTATGAACTGAGATTTATCATATGAACTAAAGCATTTATCCATAATATAAGCGTATGACATGAAAACTTGTTTATCATACCAAAATGACATAAGTATGTATACAAATTAGATGACCAGAAGAGCATGGTTTGATTTGAACTCAGTGAAATCATACCGGAGATTTCATCAAATAACACAGAATCATTGTTGTTTCCATTATTTAAGTTTCAATTATTCTCCAAAACTGTTCAAGTATTGAAAAGATTATCCAAGGAACTTTTATCCTTAAGATCCTAGATGATATATATGTAAAATGTCATCAGTGTAAAATTTGCGGTAAAATTTGATGTATTTATTACTTGATGGAAAAACAGTAATGTGAAAATGATAAACAGAATTCATATGTGTTTTTTAATATGGGAAATATTAACCTTTTCCCATTTATCAGTATTTGCTGTGCCAAAGGATCAGCAAGCACTGATTAAGTAAGACTCTGTTGATATTTTCCACATTAAGATCGCTTGTGATGAATATTCTATCATCTATATAAAAACCTGGACAGGTGGGGATGTTAATACCACTCACTCACTCACTCACACATTAAGATCGCTTGTGGTGAATATTCTATCATCTATATCAAAACCTGGACAGGTGGGGAGGTTAATACCACTCTCTCTCACTCACTCACTCTCACTCACTCACTCACTCACTCACTCACTCACTCACTCACTCACTCACTCACTCACTCACTCACTCACTCACTCACTCACTCACTCACTCACTCACTCACTCACTCACTCACTCACTCACTCACTCACTCACTAAGGACAGAAAGTTGATCTTGATAATGCTTCTCCAACCCACATTATCCTAGTTCTTCATGTCCGCCTTGCACATCAGGACACATTGATGTTTTCTTTACCAAATATAATACCACAAGTGATTGTTACAGCTTCGACACAAACTTAACACTTGATGCTTTTTCCTTTTTCCTTTTTTATGAAGACAATTGTTAAAATTCTCCTTCTTTTAAGATCCCAAACATTTGAGTCTTTTCTTTCACTTAAAACCATGAGTTTCTTACATTTAACGTTTCAGCTAAGAAATTGAAAATCATTGATTTCCTTGTGTGTGCCTCTAATTGATTTGAATTGAATCATTGAATTGTAACTCTGGAAGGTTGAGTTTGATGTTGTTTGGAGTTTTGTTGGTTTGAGTGACATGCTGAGGACAACAAGCAGCAATGTGGGGAACATTACAAACCCTCAAAGTTAAAAGATTATTTATGGCTGTAAGAACAAACATTTTGAAACTGGGATCCAATAGAATTAAATCTGAACTTCAAGCAACAAACACAGTTGTTCTGTAACAATGGAAACGAGCGAGAATGTTGTTTTATGACATGTAATGGCATCTGGAATACATGGAGCTAATGCAGGCCCTCGGCTGTAAGGTGCAGCCTTTGACTTGGGAGACTTGTGGTTTGTAAGCCCAGATCCATTAACTAGGTCTGCCACATACCTGTTGTCAAGGTAGAGGGGAATTCAAGGTAAAGGATGGAGGGGGATCCCCAGTATATGGGGATCATAGATGGAGGGGGATCCCCAGTAGACGAGGATCCCAGGTTGAGGGGGGATCCTAGTTACAGGAGCATGAATTCGAAGATCCCTTGTAGATTTCCAATTAGAGGAAGATCACAGGGGGATCCTCAATAGTCACAGGGGGTGATACAGACATCATGGTTTCTGATTGACACTTATCTGACAAAACTTGCACCAAAAGATACTAGCAGTGATCATG